TTTGGCTTTGCAATCCTTGCTGTGCACTATCGTCAACTTCGTTACGTTATTAAACTTCATTCGACATCGGTTATCGTGCATGTTACGATTGTTTTCAAGTAACTCAGAAGCGTCAGCCATCGGTGACTGACATGACGCTTAACGTGTTAACGATTTTCTAAGAAAAACATCTCGACGTGCGTAGCAGTTCTTCCCAGCGCAAGAGGTTAACGATAAAATAATTCTAGCAAGCATAATTGCCAAAGAAATCGCAGGACGAGGGATCGACGAGTCAGTATTCCCGTCGAGCGTCCCGAATGTTACATATTCGACGAGATAACGGTGCAGCGTGTGCAAGAACACGCGGGGTCGACTCGCTCGCGGGTCGTTTCTCTCGCACGAGATCGAGAGAACCGGGCACCTCGGTTTTATCTGGCGTTTCCGAGGCTAGCCGCGGTAGAATGCGATTACCCGGCCGCAAGAATATAAATTCGGCATTATCTTATCCGCGAGCGAGCGAGCGAGCGCGTCCGCGACGCGTTCGTGTTATCTTGACGCGAGCCCTCTCCGGTTCTGTAAACAGATGCGGACGATACAGAATCCGGCGGGGCAGATCGTGACATCATAAAATTACGCTCGATCCGCGAAACCCCGCGGCCGCTTAGCCAGTTAACCGCGTTTGACGAGTATACGCGTCATCTTAGAACTCGAAATATCTAATATTAATTCATTCAACGATGAATTATTTATTTCTTTCACGTAAACATGTAATTTTCCTTCATTTTGCTTTAGCGTTTCGTTAGAATATATATACTATACACTTCATTGTTTGATTTCATTGTGTGCCCAATGAGAGATTTCTCAATCATTTAATATTTTATCAACATTTGAAGCTAATCCTTTGGGGTAAAACCAGGTTTCTGCACTTCAAACGCTTGCTGTTTCTATAATAATTATATTTTCATTTTATGCATTCACAGAAATTTTCTTCGAATGTTTCGGTGGTTCTGGAAGCGGTATTTCTTTCCGGGTATTTTGTATCTTACCTGGAAAAGGTATTCTAAAGCTAGCGAATAATCCTGCCATTTTGTAAGATTTTGGCTTAGTAAAAATATAAGTACACAATGGAAGGTTAGAGTTGCACGCTTAAATAAAATCAGAAGTTTTCACTGAGCAGTTATTAACAAAAGAATTCCTAAATGTTTAGGACGTCTCCAGGTGGTGTGCCCCCTGAAATATTACGCGTGGCCGATAAAGCCGCCTATCGGTCGCAAAACGCGCGGCTATCTGCCCGTTTTATCGACCGATGGAAGGGAGAACGAAAGACGGAGTGGTAGCGGTGTTGTTCGATACGTCGGAATCGATTCGGAATGGTACAGTTGACGCGGCTGCGATTAATTTGAGCATCGTGCCCCGGGAAAACATGTTTGCCGTGCGCCTCGCGATAAAATGTTTCAATGATACGCGCTCGATCGCCATTGGCGCGGATCGTGCTCGATTTTTATCGGGAAATTCGCTGGCCTCGCTACGATCAGGTTACTCGGTGACCATTTTTCTTGGTTGTACCTTCTTATCCTCGCGTTTTACTTATCGTTCTCTTTCTCTTTTCATTTCTATAGATACTCTGTTCCAGTTTATTCTAACCCTTCCCATCTCTGTTTTGTTCAATAGTTTATTGTACGTTATAATTCGATCTTCGCTACCGTGTACTTTATTCTCTACTCTTTAGTTGATTCCAGTGTTTACTTTATTCTTCACTTTCTTTTCTGATTTCTCCTAGCTTCTATTTCGTTTTCCACTTTACCGTGTAGTTTATTTTATTATCTGTTTCATCCTACATTGTATCTCAATTTTCTATGTCCTATTCTCTACTCCGTTCAGTTTTCTGTCTACGCTTTCAACAGCGAGCACGCTGAGATCAAGCTATTAATAATTAGAAAGTAAGCGATTCATTGTACCGAAACAAGTCGAAAATGTGGAACGATGATTTCCCGTGCTGGGCAACGTGTTCCGTAAGACTGTCTTCGAAAGTTCGCACGATGCACACGCGCGAGTCCGTATCAAGTAGAAACGGCAGTCAATAAACGGACACCAGTGTCGAGCTCTATTCAACAACTCGTTTAACACTAAACGTATCGACACTTTGTATGTACTTATACCTACTATAAGCGGTCAAGTAACTAGTTATTAAATAAAGGTAAACAAACTAAACGATAAATATTTCTTACTGGAAACAGAAACAGAAGGAAAGATAAAAATTGAGAACTGATTAAACGAGTAATATGGAAATTGATTTAACCCTTAGCACTCGAGAGGCGACTCCCAATCGCCAGATGATTTCATACAGCAAAATTATAAACTTTGACATTTACCATTAACCTTTGTGTACTGCATTAATACGTGGCATATTGATAGAAAACAGCTTTGCGCCCTAATTTATGTGTGATCTCTTGATAAATTAATTTTCAAAAATCTTGTCTACATCTAATTGGAAAGCATTGAATATTTCAAGTGACAAACTTTCGAGTACAAAGAGTTAATGTTAAGTGAACGAAGAAAAACGGAGAATTTCAAATCACATTTCAAAACCAGTCACTTGACCGTTCGCGGTACGTTCAGAGTTAAATAGTTAAAAATCATAAGACCGCCGTGGAATCTAGGGTCTTATTTTAGTTCCACAGCCGGCTGCTGACCGCTTAAAAATACTAGAACAGAATTTCTCATTGTCTTAACACGTTCGCGACCACGCGACACATGTGTCGCGCCGTTGATTACCATTGCTATGATGATATTAACATATATTTAACCTATGATATACCCTATCTCTTTGGCTTTGTTTTATCAAAATATACACATACGACGTCTATGTAAAACGCTTTGTTCGGTTTATTTACTACATTCCGAATACGTAAAAATTATAGGAATAACACATCGCGCGGAACAATTACAAGAAGAACACGATCCGCGATAAACGCGTTTCAAAATCGACCGTGCTCGCGAACGTGTTAATCGACCAGTAAAAAGTTCAATAACCTTCGCGAAGCTTTTTCCCCGTCGTCTTCGTCAATTTTTCATCTTCGCTCCTCCAGCTACCGGAAATAAAATGTCGTTTGAGCGTCGTCGAACGTGTAAATTCAATTTTCTTTCGAGAACGTCCGCGCGAGGAACATTTCGTCGTCGTTCCTTTCCAAACCGTCTTCGTCGGAGGGAAATCAACCGTTTCCGGATAAAGAGAACGAAAGATACGACGCGCGCGTCGATCGAGCCGGTTCCGACACTGATCGAATGAATCGGCGCCGCGGATCTCGAAAGGAAAAAGTCATCGGAAAATCTGCTCTCATTATTTTCGAGCGGCCGGTTTCGCCACAGTCCCGATTCAGCGGAGTCGCGAGATAACGGATTAAAAAAAACAACGGGCCGTCGAATAAATACAGATAAATCGGCCGATACAATTGCGAAACGCATGAACGGGAATGCGACGCGGCCGTTATGCAATAGAACAACGGTCCGGCATGACGCCGGGCGAAAGGAGAAAAGAATCTCGATTTTCAGCTCCCCGCCGCTCCCGCATCATCGTTCGAGTTCGTTCGATGTCGGCGCGGGTAGAAGCGAGTCGGGATGAACACAGACGACGTGAGTATACAGGGGACGGAAGAGACAGAGAAACATATGCGACAGAGATGATCGCCCCAGACAATTCACAAAAAGCATCGGGGAAGTCGATGATCTGAAAAAGCCCGATCTTCTTTCTTATTCTTATCGCGTTCGCCTTGCCAAGGTCGTCTACGAGGAATTTCCTGTCGATCGGGAGGCTCGGTTTCTGTTTTACGATCATTTTATTCAGTAATTTCCTCTTCTGGTCTGTTCTTCCCTTCTCGAGGAGAAGAGGAACAATAGGTGCTGGACAATTGAATTTTCGCGTCTCTCCGTACATCGAATATCGCGCGAATGTAATTTCTACGGGTCTCGGAGTGTAAGATTGATACGCACACGTTTGTCTCCGGTTCTTTGCTGAACGTTGTGGTATTTACGTGTTTTTTTGGATTTTCGAGCTTCGTGTAATGATTCATCGCGATATTGTATCGTATCGAGTCGTATCGTGTTGAGTCTTGCGCGACAGAGGTTTAGTGTACACGTTTTTCCTTCGTCTCGCGGGGTAATTGTTCTTATTTGTTTCTCGATTGTTTTGATTTGTGACGTGAACGAGAGTTACCACCGATCGGACGAATAGAGTTTCACAGCGGTATTGTGCTCACCTTCTCAGACGTCGATCCGAAAATTTCAGAAACTTTAATCAACTTACTTCGCTTCGCGGTCATTGTATCAATTCATTTAAGAGTATTTCCGAAAATCAGCTACATTCGATAATCGCAACGGAATGAATAAGGAACGAAGCATTTTAACAGCTGCACTAATCCTTTAACCCCTTGACCTACAATATCATCTCAGTCTCGCAACGAAAATTTCAATCCAGATTTTACAAACTAGAGTATTAGTAATTTATTTGAAGTATAAATTAAATATTACTTTCCTATTATAAATCGTTAACCTTTGGAGCAAACATGGGCAAGGAACAAGCATCATAATTATTTCTCTAACGACTACGGAAAAGTAATTGCAATTATACTCAAGAAGTAAATCATAGAGCAAGGGGTTAATCCTCGAATCTATAACTCCATTGAACTCAACAATGTTTAATACTAGGTTCACAAACATTCATTCTACAATTCATTCTATAGTTCCCAGAAAAACTGACCTTCGTTCTTTCAGATCTTAAAAATCCCAGTTTAAAGATGCACAATTCCATATTCGCGTATCAACGAAAATCGACAGTTAGCAACCATTTACCATGTTCCTAATTCAATATCCTAACGTTGGCATCGCAAATATTGCTGCGAGTACTTGAAAATCGAGGTGAAAAAGCTCTTTTCGATCCGACTCGATGAAACCGCGGTTCTCCTTCGTCGGAGAACGAGGGCCGACCTTGGTAAGGGAGGAACGCGTGCGCGCGGAAGCTGTACCTCGTCCGAGGTAATCGGCGACTCGAGAGTATGGCCCACCTTCGGCCTCGCGAGGGGGAAAAGAGGGCCTTAGGTCGCGATTGCAGTAGTCGGTGTGGTTGCAGCAGGCGACCACGTACTCCATGTCGCCTGGGCCGCGTAGCGTGCCGTTCATGCTGCACCAGACCGAGTACTCGGGCGCCGGGAAGAAGCGATCCTTATCGTAACACCTGAGAAAACAATTTCACAATTCACGGCTGCGTCCGGGCCGCGGAAACGGAAAACGCGCCATGTTCGCGGACGGAACGCGTAATCCTGAGAGCTAGACTTGAACTAGAACAACCGAACTTTTAATACGATTAACCCCTTGCGCTCGAGAGGCTATAATGAGAGGAATATTATGCTTTGTACAACGCATTAATTAGCGAAGTATTGAAATCAAATAGCTTTGTTTCTTAATTTATGCACGTTTTTTGATTAGTTAGTTTTAAGGAATGTTGTTTATGTCATTGAAAAATGCGGAATGTTTCTAGTGGAAAACTTTCGATTGCAAAGGGTTAATGTTGTGTTATATAAACAATGAAACTGCCGAGTAATTGTGTTGAGTCTTCGAAATTCCTTCGTAGAAACTCGGAGAGTGCAGGTATTGAAACTTTAATCGATTCACGATTTGCGTATTGTTGAAACGATTTGTTTAATAATTTCTCCGAGAAACATTGTTTATATTTCTGATAATTGCACAAAGAGGAAACCTGGGATGTTTCGCTTTGACTTGTCTGGCAGTTTTAGTGGTATTATGAAACTTGTAACAATAGACCTTTTGCAGTTTCTATGTATCTTGATTGTAGTATTGAAACGAAATTATTTATTGTTCAAATCGTGTCGGATATTTAACGCTTTCGAGATGTTTGTTCGGTCATTGTGAAATTAGAAAACTGAATGACGGCGTTTTGACGAGTGCGGTTGTTCTAGTGTTAACGGTATCTTGTCGACGGCATTTCGTAATTTCTCTTCGTTTCATTTGTTTCCTGTTTTATTTGTTTCTCGAACGGGATCGGCGCGATTGTTTTTGGAAGAATAAGTTACACACTTATCTCTTCGAGCATGATCAAAGCGGACACATCGGACGCGGCACGATGTTTTTAGTAGCCTAGTCATTTTCACTCTTATCGCTTCAATTTGAAATTGTTCTTTTTCTGGTCGTTTCGAGGTTGCAGACGAAGCTGTCTCGCCACAGCTCGTTGCGAAAACAAGGTGTTAATGCTGAGAAAAACACTTGATGACCCGAAGATGACACTCGAAGCCATCTCGGCGGAGTTATTCTTTTCTTTTTCCTGTCACTGTCGACGACTCGCGAATCGTCCGGATGCTCGGAGCGAATTTGCTTGACGCTGGAACTACCGAATGGATCGTGATGATATATTCTTGATTTCTTATTTAGCGACTATAAAAAGCACACGAATGTTTTTCTGAGAAATCATTGGATAAGTTAATGTCGTAACACGCAAGGTATTAGGTCATCCCACAAGCAATCTTGTTGTTTTTGTACGAACTTCTACTGTAAACAGTATTCCCTTTATTTGTTAATTCTCGAAGTTCGACCTTTCCCATTTTTTGAGTAATTGCTTAATGTCATTCTCTGAAAGTGAATGTGGCTTTCCATTAAAAAATTCATTCGAAACAGTCACTTGTATGAGGACCTAATGCAATGCAAATCAATTGAAATTTTAATATTCAGGATCTTGGGACTTGTATAAAAAGAACAGGACGAAGAGAATTCGACTGATCGGTAGTTCTAGCGTGAAATAAGTGACTTGCGTCTATCGGTAACGCGCGGTGCCCGATTATCGTCGCCTCCGACCGACTTTGATTCGCCGGCTCGTGAAATTGTCGAAGCACTCGACGCTAATTACGCTCCGCCCGATAATTATCTATTCCGCAAACAACCGTGCAACAAGATACCATTAAGCGCATTTAATAAGCTGCCGGGCTTACACTTATCGATTAAAGCGATTAATCGGCTGCTCGAAGCTGTTCAAGATCGACGATTATTTATCCGGAACACGCCGGCTACTGAAAAGAAGCTGTTTTAGTCCACGAGGAGAGCTGACCATTTACATACACGGGTATTCGTGTACATGTTACGGTTCAAGTGATCAATCAACGTTTACATTAACGATAACCGGACAATATCAATAATAACCGAACAGAGAAATTAAAATGAATCATTCATAAGAATTGAAATTCACAATTACACAAGTGTAAATGTGATAACTTTCAGTGGAAAGTAATTTTGATAATAATCGATGAAGTGATAATAATTATGAAACTGCTGATTATTAATATTCAGTCGGTAAATGTGATTATCACGCGATATTATTGTAATTAGATTGACTAAAGGACGCGGTTATTATTAACACATTGAGCGCCGGCGACCTAAGAGACATTTAAAGCCTGAGCGCCGGCAACGTATCGGCCACTTAGCCCAAACGCCGGCCTCATTCGCTTGTATCTGATCAATGAGTAGCAAAAAAAGATATTCGAAACATTATACATTTTAATTGCATATTCGCCATATACAATTTAACGGAAATCCAAAAATCCGCATTATTGCGGGATCGGCGCTCAAGCGATAGACTCAGAATCCCGCGTTTTCACGGGGCCGGCGCTCAATGTGTTAATGTATATTAGCCGGTAATTGTATTAATACTAATCGGATTTATTACGTGAACCGTAGCATTATATACAGAAGTGTTCTCTTTTGTCTCCGTTAAAAGCCAGCGAGAGTTGGGTTCGTTACAACAGGGAATTTCACGGAAAATAGAAAAACAACGATCGAGTCTAACCATTTCGCTGGCCCTTTGCTGTCCGCGAGGACGATGCCGTCGCGACAGCGAAGAAGATGGACGGATTAAACTGGAAGGACGTGCAGAAACGGGAATTATAATAGCTGCGGTTGGCATAAACGAAACGTTGATGCAAGATTACATTCTTTCTTAGTCGTTGTTTTTTGGTACTCCATTTTTTTTCTTCCTCTCTTCGTCCCGTATCTTTCAATTCGTCATTAAATCGCTTTCAAGATTCCGTTTCCGAATTCGTGACGCAACCATGAAGATCGAAATGTAATCCGATATTATTTTAATATTCAATTTTATGCAACCAGAATATTAAACGGGCGTTCGTGTGCCTGTAACGTCACGGGACAATTTTATCGAACACTGTCGTGACCGGTTACTTTCGAAATCGAACGAACCAAAATTTCTCTGAACGAAGAGGATCTTCATACGTCAGTTTCATTGCTTTTCAAACTTCCAAATGTTCAATGTGCGATTTAATTTGAAATTACCTCGTCTTCAATAAGAACAAAGCTGTTCTTAGAAGATCGATAGATGAACAACCAAATACAAGCATACTTTTTATGTTTCCGTTATTTATCGACAATTTAAGTCTATGATCGTTTCTTCATCTTCAGCAAGAAAATACTGGTGCAAAAACATCGATCAGTAAACACATAAATACATGTACGCTTTCAATATCTCGTGGCTATAAAAGAATGTATGTAGTATAAAATTAACAAATATCAATCTGTAAGTACAGACTTCCAATGTATTCAATAGTTTTAAAAGGAATGTACCTTGAAATTTTGAAATTACAATGACGTTGAACTCTCACGGCCGAGCGTATAACAGTTTAAATTAAATAATTACTCCATTTTGCAAAATCAAATAAATCAACGAGATGCCTGTATATTGGTATGTGACTTCAAAGTCATACGAGCCTACGGAAGGTTAAATTGTCGATCACACTCGAAACGTCTCTTGCATCGACTTTCCGGCGTTGCAGACAATATCGACGACTACGGGGAAAGGTTAACACGCGTAATCTATCTGGATTTGTATACAGAGGGACGAAAGAAGGAGGACGTGGAGGAAGAGGGCTGAGAAAGGCTCGCGTAGCGACGCTACCAACAATCTTCTTCTAAAGGGAATCGAAGGAAAATATTTACAAAAGATGTCCCTTCTCTAAGAATCTGTTTACCAATGTCACTACGGTGTCTACTTTCGCTAGAGAGTGCAGAGAGGAGAAAGAGATATACGGCAACATGCTACCGGCGCCTTACAAGTCCGCTCGGGAGGACTTCCGGTCCCCGAGCACTTGCCAGCGAAACGAATAAATAAATAAACTGAGGAGGAGGGTACCATGAAGTAACTAGCACCTCCATAGGTGGCAAATATTTTCCCCGTTACTCTATTCATTTTACTCGACACTTTAATAGTCTTTCTCAAACAATTTTCTTTCAAACTGATGAAAAGATAATCATTCTTCACGAAAATTCTAGTTTGAAGATTCGAATGTTTGCTATTACGGTTCCAAAATTTTTGAAGTCAACTGTCCGAATTTGGAATTTTCTGACTTTATATCGATCTTTTAAAGTATTCTCAATTTAAAGGTTAGAACGTTGTCGTCGTGTAATCGAAGAGAAATAGGGGTGATTATTGCATTGTTTTAATTGGCTATGCTGCTAAGCTGCATGGAACGGGAGGGAGTTGATAAATGGAAGGCCGTGAATGGGTGGAAATGAGAGAATGCTACGACATCGTCGACGAGTATCGTTGAATTAGATGATCGAGGGTTGATTCGGATCGTCCTCGTATATGTGATTAAGGACAACATTGAGAGTCATCGCGAGACTGCTGATTTTGTTCGCGAGCAGCAGACGCATTGTCTGAAAAGTTTGACTGTTATTATGAGCTGAATGGAACGAATTATAGAAATTCGTGGTTCGACTTCGAGTGTTTTCAAAGTAGTTAAAAAAATACATTTTTTGGCACGAACACTGTGACAACATTTTAGCAGTCTGATAATTAATCTTGCCGCCATACACCTCGCGCGAAAACGCTTCTACTAGAAATACCAGAAAATCTTTTCGTGTTTTAAGCACTTTAATTGTCATGGTTATAATATGAATTCTTATTTTTGATGTGCAATTTAAATTGGTATTTAAGGTCACTGGAAATGACGGTTATTGACTAATTGTAATAACTATGTTATTGAGTAAATGTACTTATTGTTTTCATTATTTTCATGGAGTTTGATAATAACAACGAGAAGGATTTTCCGCTACTCTTAATAGTTCTCGTTGGAAGGAAAACCGATTTAAATTATGACATTTAAAAAATAAAAATCACGATGTCCCTCGGAAGCGTATTGTTAAAGGTTCGATCTCGTT